CAGCAGCAGCACCACCCTCAGCAGGACCTGAGTCACCAGTGACCTCAACCTGAGGAGGAGGGTCTACCTGAGACACACCTGAAGGAGCAGGACCGGGAGCGGGGAGGGGGTCTACCTGGGGAGCACCTGGAGCGAGGAAGAGCGGCGGGGGGGGGAGAGGGGCAGTGCGGTAGGGGAAGAGACGGTAAAAGGGAACCGACTCGTCGAACGTGACGTCCTGAGAGGGGAAGACACGGCGCGAGGTGGGGTGGTAAAACTGCAAACCAGGCGCGTCAGGGACGAAGCCAAGGAAGACACAGGGAACAGCGCGGGCGGAGAGCTTGTCCGTAGTGGTATCGCGGACAAAGGCACGAGCACCCCAGACCCGGAAACGCGACGCATCACCAACCTTCCCCGTCCACAGCAGTGTGGGCGAGGTTTCCGGCAAGGAGACACGGGGCCAGAGGTTGAGCTGATGCGCGGCGTACCGGACCGCAAAACGGCCACAGAAAATGGGGGGCAGCCGCATGGATCATGGAGGTACGAGCGACCTCCATGACTAAGCCAATGCGGCGCTCAGCAACCCCATTCTGCTGCGGAGAGGCCGGAAGCGTGAACGACTGGCGGATGCCGTGCTCCGCACAGTAGGCTGCCAAGAGGTCTGAGGAGAACTCACCACCTCTGTCAGAGTGCAGACGCAGGACAGGAAAGTCCGACTGGAACCGCTCGCGGAGCTGGAGACGAGTAGCGCGGATCCAGGGGATCAAAACATCAGGGACCCCCCCCTTGCTGCGCAAGGGGAAGACCGTGGTGTAACGCGTGTAGTCGTCGACGACCAGCAGGAAGTACCGCTCGCGGCCCTGTCCACGGACGCGGGCTGGGCCCCACACGTCCAGGTGGAGAGTCTGCAAGGGAGCCTCTGTGGGAGGGAACGAGGAGGAGTGAGGAGCGGCGCGCTGCCGCCCCTCGACACAGGGAAGACAGGGAGGAGCAGGCGAGGGTGGGAGGGGAGGGAGAACCCTGGGAAGACCAGAGACAAGGGCACGGCGGTGCATGCTGCGAAGGCGCTGCACCGAGGGGTGACCAAGGCGGTGGTGCCAAAGGAGGGTCTGGTGCGACAAGGCACGACACGAGCAGGGGGCCGACAACTGACCTGACGCAGACGCAGACGCAGCTACCTGAGGGGACTCAGTGGTCAGTGTGTACAGGCCCGACCTCGGCTGCCGAGTGAAGGTAGCCAGGTGACGACCAGTCTGAGCACACGTGCAGTGTGTCACACGCTCGTAGGCAGGGGTGAACTGGTGAACACCCGCGTCCTGGAGCGCGGAACCCGCCACCAAGTTCGTAGAGAACGAGGGGAGGTAAAGACCCGACAGTGTGCCGGACGGGACAGCAAGACAAGGGAGGACAGTGGAGGAGGTCGCACGGATTGGACCCCAAGAGGGGTCTGCCAGGGAGACTGGAACCGGCCGACTGAGCGGCGTGAGGGTGGTGCTGTCGCGAAAGAAAGAGCGAGAGGCACCAGAGTCAAGTGTGAAGGTGTACAAGGCCTCAGCAGGCGCAGTACCAGAGAGGGCAGACTCACCAGTACCTAGAGCAGCAGCCTCACCAGCACCTAGAGCAGGAGACGCACTAGCACCTAGAGCAGTAGCCTCACCAGCACCTAGAGCAGCAGGCTCTATACCTGGGTCAGGTGGTACGCACAGGTAACAGGCACGGTCGGCACTAGTAGGCAATGCATACATGGCAGTGAGAATAGCATCATAGTCAAGAGCAAAGATATCTACCCTCTGTCCAAGCAGCTCCAGCCAGGTGGGGAGCTCAGCCTCGTCGCCAAACTCGGTACGCCAGGCGTCGCTCAGACGAGCGAAGCAGCGGGACTGTGTGTGACCAGGCGTCCCGCAAGGCTGACCAGTCCGATCACCTGTGCGAATGACGTACGGGCAGCGAACTGGACTCAAAGACCCTCTACTCTGAGCGTACCACTCGTGAAGCTGCCGGGACGTAAGTGTCTCTCGCGAACGCCGCTGCAGCTGCGGCTGACCACTGCCAGACGCTCCCAACGAACCAGCTCCAGGGCTACAGCCACGACGGCTACCGCCACAACCCCAACTACCGTACCACTCACGAAGCTGCTGGGGCGTGAGAGACTCGCGCGGACGGCGCTGGAGCTGCATCGCAGCAGTAGCAGCAGCAGCAGCCTAGCAGCAGTAACACAAGTAGCGGCAGCAGTAGCAGTAGCAGTGCGGGCAGGCAGGCAGGCCTACAGGCAGGCAGGCAGGCCGACAGGCAGGCAGGCAGGCAGGCAGGCAGGCCGGCAGGCAGGCAGGCAGGCGGGCAGGGCAGGCGCGGCAGGCAGGCAGGCAGGCAGTGCGCTAACAAGGCAGGTGCTCACCAGTGGCGGGAAGAGCAGGCGCTCGTCGGGCGAGCAGGGCCGGCGCTCGGCGGGCGGCTGCACGGGGTCCAGGGGCGGCTGCACGGAGTCCAGGGGCGGCTGCACCAGGGGCGGCTGCTTCAGGGACCAGGGGCGGCTGCTCTGGGTCCAGGGGCGGCTGCTCAAGGGTCCAGGGGCGGCTGCACCAGGGGCGGCTGCTGCAGGGGCCAGGGGCGGCTGCTCAGGGTCCAGGGGCGGCTGCACCAGGGGCGGCTGCTGTAGGAGCCATGGGCGGCTGCTCTGGGTCCAGGGGCGGCTGCACCAGGGGCGGCTGCTGCAGGGGCCAGGGGCGGCTGCACGGAGTCCAGGGGCGGCTGCACTAGGGGCGGCTGCTTCAGGGACCAGGGGCGGCTGCTCAAGGGTCCAGGGGCGGCTGCACCAGGGGCGGCTGCTGCACGAGCCAGGGGCGGCTGCTCTGGGTCCAGGGGCGGCTGCTCCAGGGGCGACGTTGACGCAGGGCGGGGCCGCAACAGCGGGTAGAGCTCGGCACGAGGGCCGTAGGGGTGCGCGAGGGCGGGGCCGAGCCGCGCGCTGCCAAAAAGGGGCGGCGCGGCGAGCAGGGAAGGGCGGCTCGCCGGCCCTACAGGTGCGCGACGGGCCAGGCGGGGTCGCGCGCTGCCAGCAGGGCAGCGCCACTGGCTCCCGTGGGCGGCACGAAGGCCCTAAGGCGACGCGACGGGCGGGGCCGGGCCCTAGGGCGGCGTGACGAGAAAAAACGAAGAAAAACTAAAAATAAACGCGCGTCGCGCGGCCAGCAGGGCGGCGCGACGGGTGGGGCAGCTCGACAGGCAGGGGAAACCCTAAAAAAAAGAGAGGTAACGGTGGGCCCACTAGGAAATTAGGTCCTAAGACATAAGTGCTCTTAATACCATGTTAGAGTAGGGTGGTAGGGATGATTCAACTATCGAGAAGGTTTGGTACAAAAGTGAAACCTAAGGGGTTGTACCCCACAGTGAGTACCCCACTAAAGCCTACCTAAACTATAACATATATACATATGTTTGACACGCGGCCCCCAGGGCGCCACGACGGGCGACGGGACGGGGGGGACGCGCGGCCCCCGGGGCGCCTCGACGGGCGACGGGATGGGGGGGTCGCGTGGCCCCCATGGCGCCGCGACGGGACGACGCGAACGGGGGGGGGGACGCGCGGCCCCCGGGGCGCCTCGACGGGCGACGGGATGGGGGGGACGCGCCCCCGTGGCGCCGCGACGAGACGACGGGAAGGGGGGGGACGCGCGGCCCCCGGGGCGCCTCGACGGGCGACGGGATGGGGGGGACGCGCGGCCCCCATATCGCCACGACGGGCGACGGGAGAGGGCGCCGCGACGGACAGGGCGGGGGCTGCGCGCGGGTCCCCCACGGTAGGAAACCGCCGCGCGCCTCGGGGCGCACGGCGGGCAGGCGCGCGGTGGGATGAAAAAACGCCGCGCGCTCCTGGCGCGCGGCAGGAACAAAGGGTCACGCGCCCGGGGCGCGCGACAGCAGTAGAGCAGCGGAAGCAGTTAGGTGGTGGACCCACCCACAGGATCGACCCAAGGGGGTCGACCTGCTCTGAAACCATGTCAGAAGTACGAGTAGAAAGTTTAGAACAAGAAAGAGGATGTTCACTAGCAGCAGTTGGGATACATATAGCAAACCCTAACTGGGTTGTACTCGCTATAGAGCACCCCACTGCAGGCTAGATAATATAACATTCTGACACTTCCCTGCTTCCCCCCATCCCCTTCCCTGCTTCCCCCCATCCCGCCTCTCTCTCTCACTCTCGCCCCTCCCTGCCGCAATGCTGCCCCCCCTTGTGCCTGCCGCCTGCTGTTAACGCCCTCCCTCCCACCTCTCCCAAACCGCGTCTTTTTCTATATGCGCCCAATCCCTCTCGCTGTTCCACTCACTCTACTCTCTCCCCATTCCCTCCCACCTTTTCTCCCCCTCTTCCTCGCGGCAGGCCACCGAAGCACCGCATCCAGCAGATCTTCGACTGGATCTGCCCCAAGGCGAGCCGGCGGAGCTGTGAGGCAGCCTCCTCTCGAGACTGCCTTCAGCCCCCTGCTGCCCCCCCTTGTACCTACACTGTTGCTGCACCATTGTCTCCCTCCCCCCTTCCCTTAACATCAAAAGGTTAACCCAAACAAAAACATACATACTGCAACCTTTTTTAAGGCTGGTTAAATCAGTCTTAAAAATTGTACCTACACTGATGAGATTTTTTTTTGCTGGTGACAACAAAGATTTTTCAGGGTCTTTTTTCTCAAGGACCCCGATAGAAAGTTTTTTTTTAGGACCAACACTGACGAAAAAGCGTGGCCCAAAACGAATCTGAGGCCCTGCCCGGGAAGCATGGGAGATACGGGAGGCATGGGAGGTATGGAAGGAGTGGGAGGGATGGGAGGGATGGGAGGCGTGGGAGGCGTGGGAGGGACCTTGATACACAATTAGAAGTTGCAAAAAGGGCAGCAAAACTCAACAATTTTCTTCAGAAAAGAGCTCCTTGTGCAGAGCCTCAAATTCAGCAAGCACCTTGATCATGTTGGGGCGCAGGGCAGTGAGCATGGCGGTGCCACAACACTCCTCATCACTCCCACACTCACTCACTCCGTTCCCCCACTCACTCCACCTCCACTCGACCCTATCCTAATCGCATTCGCCACCTCCTCTTCCAAGTCATGCCCCTGCGTGTCATCAATCTCCCGGTCAATCCTCATCGCCATCTGATCCCCTGTCGCACCGCGCACCTCCTCGCGCAGAGCCTCCAATTCAGCAAGCACTTTGATCATGTTGGGGCGCAGGGCAGTGGGCATGGCGGTGCAGCTGAGAGCCAGGCGTGCCAGGCGTAGGATGACGTCTGGTGGGGCGTCCAGAGAGGGGTCCTTTAAGGTCACTCCGTCGTTGGCTGCTATGAACGGTGCCACCTGGTGGGTGCGGGGTGCGGTGTGGGGGGGTGGAGTCTCGTTTTGAGGTGCCTCAAAACCAGGCGCAGGATGATGTCTGGCGGGGCATCGAAGGCCGGGTCCTTGAAGGTCACTCCGTCGTTGGCTGCTATGAACGGTGCCACCTGGTGGGGGCGGGGTGAGGTGTGGGGGGTTGGATTCTAGTTTTGAGGCGCCTCAAGACCTGGGCATGGAGGCGAGAGTTGGAGCATGGCATGAGCATGGCAAGAGCATCATGAGCATGGGCATTTGCAGGAGGAGCATGAGCAGAGAGGCAAGGGTTGGCAGGCACGGACCCATTGCTTGAGGTTGATCTGGCTGTCGTCCGAGTTGTAGATGGCCTTGCGCGCCGTCAGGATCGTGAGCATCACCACTCCAAAGCTGCGAAGGCGGAGGGAGGCATGGGAGGTACGGGAGGTGCGGGAGGGAGGCATGGGCGGGAGGCATGGGGGACACAGGAGGCACGGGAGAGAGACGAAAGGACGGGATATGACTAGGGGATGGAAGAGCACAGCAGGTAGTGCAAGAAGGAAGCACATGGGAACATTAAGGAATATAAGAAATTTGCTAAAATACACCATAAATGCACACGTCACCCTTAACTGCACGCATCGCCCATACCTGTGAACGTCAGCCATAGGAGTGGCCTTCTGAGACTTGAAATACGCCGGGTCCACATAGCCCGGTGTGCCCATCACCCGCGTGGCTCCCACTGTGGTGCCCTCGCCCATCCTCACCAGCCCAAAATCGGCTACCTTTGCCTGCCGTGGATGGGACGTGCAGCCAACAAAGAGGAAGCAATGAGAGAAGGACTCTTTTTGATATACTTGCTGCCATAGAGCATAGAAGCCTCATGCAGCACGAGTGAGTGCGTTGTTGTGCACGTGCATGAATCTGAAGTGCTGACTGGAGGTGCTGACTGGAGGTGCTGACTGGAGGTGCTGACTGGAGGTGCTGCTGACTGGAGGTGCTGACTGGAGGTGCTGACTGGAGGTGCTGACTGGAGGAGGTGCTGACTGGATGTGCTGACTGGAGGTGGTGCTGACTGAAGGTGCTGACTGGAGGTGCTGACTGGAGGTGCTGACTGGAGGTGGTGCTGACTGGAGGTGCTGACTGGAGGTGCTGACTGGAGGTGCTGACTGGAGGTGCTGACTGGAGGTGCTGACGGAAGGTGCTGACTGGAGGTGCTGACTGGAGGTGCTGACTGGAGGTGCTGACTGGAGGTGCTGACTAGAGGTGGTGCTGACTGGAGGTGCTGACTGGAGGTGCTGACTGGAGGTGCTGAATGGAGGTGCTGAATGGAGGTGCTGACTGGAGGTGCTGACTGGAGGTGCTGACTGGAGGTGGTGACTGGAGATGCTGACTGGAGGTGCTGACTGGAGGTGCTGACTGGAGGTGCTGACTGGAGGTGGTGCTGACTGGAGGTGCTGACTGGAGGTGCTGACTGGAGGTGCTGACTGGAGGTGCTGACGGAAGGTGCTGACTGGAGGTGCTGACTGGAGGTGCTGACTGGAGGTGCTGACTGGAGGTGCTGACTGGAGGTGCTGACTGGAGGTGCTGACTGGAGGTGCTGACTGGAGGTGCTGACTGGAGGAGGTGCTGAATGGAGGTGCTGACTGGAGGTGCTGACTGGAGGTGCTGACTGGAGGTGCTGACTGGAGGAGGTGCTGACTGGATGTGCTGACTGGAGGTGGTGCTGACTGAAGGTGGAGGTGCTGACTGGAGGTGGTGCTGACTGGAGGTGCTGACTGGAGGTGCTGACTGGAGGTGCTGACTGGAGGAGGTGCTGACTGGAGGTGCTGACTGGAGGTGCTGACTGGAGGTGCTGACTGGAGGTGGTGACTGGAGGTGGTGACTGGAGGTGCTGACTGGAGGTGGTGACTGGAGATGCTGACTGGAGGTGCTGACTGGAGGTGCTGACTGGAGGTGCTGAATGGAGGTGCTGACTGGAGGTGGTGACTGGAGGTGCTGACTGGAGGTGGTGACTGGAGATGCTGACTGGAGGTGCTGACTGGAGGTGCTGACTGGAGGTGCTGACTGGAGGTGGTGCTGACTGGAGGTGCTGACTGGAGGTGCTGACTGGAGGTGCTGACTGGAGGTGCTGACGGAAGGTGCTGACTGGAGGTGCTGACTGGAGGTGCTGACTGGAGGTGCTGACTGGAGGTGCTGACTGGAGGTGCTGACTGGAGGTGCTGACTGGAGGTGCTGACTGGAGGTGCTGACTGGAGGTGCTGACTGGAGGAGGTGCTGAATGGAGGTGCTGACTGGAGGTGCTGACTGGAGGTGCTGACTGGAGGTGCTGACTGGAGGAGGTGCTGACTGGATGTGCTGACTGGAGGTGGTGCTGACTGAAGGTGGAGGTGCTGACTGGAGGTGGTGCTGACTGGAGGTGCTGACTGGAGGTGCTGACTGGAGGTGCTGACTGGAGGAGGTGCTGACTGGAGGTGCTGACTGGAGGTGCTGACTGGAGGTGCTGACTGGAGGTGCTGACTGGAGGTGGTGACTGGAGATGCTGACTGGAGGTGCTGACTGGAGGTGCTGACTGGAGGTGCTGACTGGAGGTGGTGCTGACTGGAGGTGCTGACTGGAGGTGCTGACTGGAGGTGCTGACTCGAGGTGCTGACGGAAGGTGCTGACTGGAGGTGCTGACTGGAGGTGCTGACTGGAGGTGCTGACTGGAGGTGCTGACTGGAGGTGCTGACTTGAGGTGCTGAATGGAGGTGCTGAATGGAGGTGCTGACTGGAGGTGCTGACTGGAGGTGCTGACTGGAGGTGCTGACTGGAGGTGCTGACTGGAGGTGGTGCTGACTGGAGGTGCTGACTGGAGGTGCTGACTGGAGGTGCTGACTGGAGGAGGTGCTGACTGGAGGTGCTGACTGGAGGTGCTGACTGGAGGTGCTGACTGGAGGTGCTGACTGGAGGTGGTGACTGGAGGTGCTGACTGGAGGTGGTGACTGGAGGTGCTGACTGGAGGTGCTGACTGGAGGTGCTGACTGGAGGTGCTGACTGGAGGTGCTGACTGGAGGTGGTGACTGGAGATGCTGACTGGAGGTGCTGACTGGAGGTGCTGACTGGAGGTGCTGACTGGAGGTGGTGCTGACTGGAGGTGCTGACTGGAGGTGCTGACTGGAGGTGCTGACTGGAGGTGCTGACGGAAGGTGCTGACTGGAGGTGCTGACTGGAGGTGCTGACTGGAGGTGCTGACTGGAGGTGCTGACTGGAGGTGCTGACTGGAGGTGCTGAATGGAGGTGCTGAATGGAGGTGCTGACTGGAGGTGCTGACTGGAGGTGCTGACTGGAGGTGCTGACTGGAGGTGCTGACTGGAGGTGGTGCTGACTGGAGGTGCTGACTGGAGGTGCTGACTGGAGGTGCTGACTGGAGGAGGTGCTGACTGGAGGTGCTGACTGGAGGTGCTGACTGGAGGTGGTGACTGGAGGTGCTGACTGGAGGTGCTGACTGGAGGTGCTGACTGGAGGTGCTGAATGGAGGTGCTGACTGGAGGTGCTGACTGGAGGTGCTGACTGGAGGTGCTGACTGGAGGTACTGACTGGAGGTGCTGACTGGAGGAGGTGCTGACTGGAGGTGCTGACTGGAGGTGCTGACTGGAGGTGCTGACTGGAGGTGCTGACTGGAGGTGCTGACTGGAGGTGCTGACTGGAGGTGGTGCTGACTGGAGGTGGTGCTGACTGGAGGTGCTGACTGGAGGTGCTGACTGGAGGTGCTGACTGAAGGTGCTGACTGGAGGTGCTGACTGGAGGTGCTGACTGGAGGTGCGGACTGGAGGTGCTGACTGGAGGTGCTGACTGGAGGTGCTGACTGGAGGTGCTGACTAGAGGTGGTGCTGACTGGAGGTGCTGACTGGAGGTGCTGACTGGAGGTGCTGAATGGAGGTGCTGAATGGAGGTGCTGACTGGAGGTGCTGACTGGAGGTGCTGACTGGAGGTGCTGACTGGAGGTGCTGACTGGAGGTGGTGCTGACTGGAGGTGCTGACTGGAGGTGCTGACTGGAGGTGCTGACTGGAGGTGCTGACTGGAGGTGCTTGTTAGAATACCATCCTCACTTGTAACCTGCATCTATCCTATAAGCTTCGGCTAGAGGTAGACACCCAAATGTAGTTTGGGTGTAGAACTAGGGCTAACCCTAGTTGGGGTTGGAACTCAACACTTGGCCCAATTATTTGGCCCCCAAGGTTGGGTTGGGAATTATTGGCCCCCCCAATAATGTTGAACCACCTTTGGTCAACATTATTGGTCCCCCCAATAAGTCCTCAACCCAACTTATTGGTGGGGGCCAATAATGTTGGCTAGGTCCCCAACCAAACCATCCCTCCTAGCACAACTATGTATACCCCCTCTATTCCTAATATCATCAATGGTTCTTCCTCACTTTTTCTCACATGGTAATCAGAGCTACAACGGTTAACACCGTCTCTCGATCCTAAGGACCACACCTAACGCGTGCCGTATCACGCCCCCCTCTCTCCCACGGCTCTTTGCCGCTCATCGCGCCTAAGTTGCGCTATCACGCCTTCACGGCCCCCCTCCCCCCTCGTACTCACGCACTCTCCCGTGCCTCCCCCGCACAAGTTACGTCCGGCAGCCCGCTTCCTCCCCCCACTCCCCTCCCCTCCCTCACCGCGGCGCATCCCGCCAACGAGGGCGGACGCGACCGCCGCGGCGCATCCCGCCGACGAGGGCGGACGCGACCACCGCGGCGGATTCCGCCGACGAGGGCGGACGCGACCACCGCGGCGGATTCCGCCGACGAGGGCGGACGCGACCACCGCGGCGGATTCCGCCGACGAGGGCGGACGCGACCACCGCGGCGGATTCCGCCGACGAGGGCGGACGCGACCACCGCGGCGGATTCCGCCGACGAGGCCGGACGCGACCACCGCGGCGGATTCCGCCGACGAGGGCGGACGCGACCACCGCGGCGGATTCCGCCGACGAGGGCGGACGCGACCACCGCGGCGGATTTCGCCGACGAGGGCGGACGCGACCACCGCGGCGACTTCCGCCGACGAGGGCGGACGCGACCACCGCGGCGGATTCCGCCGACGAGGGCGGACGCGACCACCGCGGCGGATTCCGCCGACGAGGGCGGACGCGACCACCGCGGCGGATTCCGCCGCCGAAGGCGGACGCGACCACCGCGGCGACTTCCGCCGACGGACGCGCACCCGCGGGCGACGAGGCGCATCCGCGGACGGACGCGCACCCGCGGGCGACGAGGCGCATCCGCGGACGGACGCTCACCCGCGGGCGACGAGGCGCATTCGCGGACGGACGCTCACCCGCGGGCGACGAGGCGCATCTGCGGACGGACGCGCACCTGCGGGCGACGAGGCGCATCCGCGGACGGACGCGCACCCGCGGGCGACGAGGCGCATCCGCGGACGGACGCGCACCCGCGGGCGACGAGGCGCATCCGCGGACGGACGCGCACCCGCGGGCGACGAGGCGCATCCGCGGACGGACGCGCACCCACGGGCGACGAGGCGCATCCGCTGACGGACGCGCACCCGCGGGCGACTAGGCGCATCCACGGACCGACGCACAGTCGCGGGCCACGAGGCGCAACCACGGGCGAAACAAACGCAGCTGCGGGTAACCCGGCGCCGCCACGCGTAACGTGACCGCACCACCCCTCCAAGTGGTGTCGTCCTCTTTGACCGCACCCGCCCTCAAGCCGGTGTCGTCACCCCCTCCCCTCCTCCTCCTCATGGCGGACGACTCCACTCCCATTGAGCTCGGAGCCATTGAAAAGCTCGAACTTCTCCATGACACCACGGCCGTCAACTGGGCGTCGTTTGAAGATACGCTTCACACGCACCTTGGCTCCGTCATTATTTAAGACTATTGCCTTCTTGATGTAGTCCTCGAGCACCCTAATGGCCTCCCACCTGTTCTCCCCCCTCCCCTTGAACCTCCTCCCCCTGACGCCCCTCCTCCACCCGAGCCTCTTCCCGACCCCCCACGTGCCCCAGTTCATGATGACAACCCGGATCGCTGGGGGGCCAACCTGAACGCCTACAACAGGCTTCGCGACACTTACACCCTCCAGCGTGAGGCGCACCGTGTTGCGGAAGCAGCACACGCTGATGCTACTGCACGCATCCTCTCCTACGCTCAAGACGAAAAAGACTATGCTGAGGAGCTTCGCAAGATCCACAAGGATGTTGCAGCATGGCGCATTGCTGATCGTCGTGCACTCGCCATCATCTTCTCCTGCATCCCCTCCCACCTCAAACGCGACCTTCGTCCCACCTCCTCCTCTGGACTCTGGAAAACCCTCTCTACTCAGTACGACCGTCAGGACCTTCGCTCCCTCCTCGCCCTCTTTCGCAAATTCCAAGACATCACCCTTGACTCCTCCCCCACTGCTGCTGCCTACACCCGTCGCCTCATTGACACTGCGCAAGGCCTCAATGACCGGGGCATTGTCATCTCTGAGTCCCTTCTTACTGCACGCATCCTCGACTGCCTCCCTCCCACATATGACACCTACCGCATCACCTTCACCTCTCGCTACCGTCATCCTCCTCCTGTGGCTGACACCATCGAGTGGCTCCTTGACAGCGAAGCGGACATTCAACGTGACTCCGCCACCGTCAATGCTGTCCAGACCCGCAAAGCTACCACAGGCAACCACAACAGCGGAGCAGGTGGCGGCCCAGGTGGCGCCGGTAGTGGTGGTGGTGGACGTGGTGGCGGCCGAGGCGGAGGACGCGGTGGTGGTCGCGGTGGTGGCCGTGGCGGACGCGGCGGATATCCCTCATCTTCAGGCACCCTCCCCCCGTGTCAGTACATCATCCGTTATGGCTCCAACAAAGGTCAGCCATGCTCTCAGACCACTCACACCATGGACACGTGCTTCAAAGCCCTCACTGACGAGTGGTTTGCACGTGGCAACGTTGGCACTCCACCTCGCTGGAACACTGTTTTCCCACGCCCCTCCACTCATGACATCCGCACCCTCCCCGCCTATCAACCCTCTACTCCCAACCTTCACAATGTCCTCACTCAGCATCTCCCATCTCACATCCTTCAACAAGTTTAGCATCTTCTCCCCTCCACTCCCACCACTCCCACTCCTCCTCCATCCACACCTCCGCCTCAAGCCCCTCCCCCTCACTACCCTCCACCCTATGCTGGCTGGCCTTACCCTCCTTACCCACCTCCTGGATATGGTCATGGACCTATTGGACCTGCTGCTAATCTTGCTGAACCACCCTCCTCCTCCTCCAACCCTCCTGGCTTTACTCCGTTCCCCTCTGCTGGATTCATAGGACATGTTCGCACTGCTCCTGCTGATTCTATGTATGCACATGCTATTAATGAGTCTCTCTTCCAGTACTCCGCCTTTTCCTCCTCCTCTTCATGCCTTGAGTTTATCCTTGACAGTGGAGCGACACACACTGTTCTGCGTGATGCAGGCACACTGGTACCCCTCCCCACTCCCTCCACTATCCACGGAGCTGACTCCAGCTTCACCATCACAAGTAGTCACACCTCCACCCTCCCCTGTCCCATCTTCCCCTCAGGTACAATCACAGGTCTATACATCCCCTCCCTACGCAACAATCTGGTAGCACTGTGTGACCTCACCAGGTTCAATATCACCGCCCTCTTCCCCGGTCATGCACGCCACTGCGACCTCTTTCAAACCTCCTCTGGTCGCTTCATCTGTCGCATTCCTCTCTGCCCTCGCACAAACCTGTACACGTACCGCACCCCTCGCACCTCCATTCACCACCTCATCGCCCCCACCTCACCCCTTCCCCTCCCCTCACCTCCGCTCCCCCTTCCCTCCCCACCTCCCATCCTCTCCCCCCCCCTCCCCTCCCCTTCCCTCCCCTCCCCTCCCCCCCCCTCCCCCCCCCTCCCCCACCTCCTCCTGTCACTGTCGTGACCTCACCCACCCCGCAGTTCTCCTTCACCATAGGTTGGGTCATCCCAACTTTGCCACCCTCCGTCAAACTGTCTCCACCCAACTCCTCGACGAACTCCCCCTCACCCTTCCCCCTCTCCTCCCATCACCCTCCCCTCCCTGCTCAGTATGCGTTGAAAGCAAACTGAAACAGGCCCCCCACAAGAGTCATCCCTCCTTTTCTCCCCAGCCTCTTGATCTCGTCCACATGGACCTCTGGGGCCCCAACCCTTCCCCCACCAGGCAAGGTCATAAATACCTGCTCATCCTGGTGGATGACCATAGCCGCTACTCCTCCGTCTCCCTCCTTCGCACGAAGGCGGAGGCCCCGGCTGCTATTATTGCTTGGGCTGAACAAGCACGCACCCATTTCAAACGCCCTGTCTCCCGCTTCCACTCTGATGGCGGTGGTGAGTTCCTTAACAACATGCTCTCATCCTACTGCACCACTCGTGGCATTATTCACACCTACACCCTACCTCATTCCCCTCAGCAGAATGGCGTGGCAGAGAGCAGGGTCCGTGAGGTCACCAAGACTGCTCGGTGCCTCATGGTCCATGCCTCCTGCCCGCCCTCTCTCTGGGGCTATGCCATCCTCCACGCTGCCATCCTCACTAACTTGTACCCTCATCCCTCCCGGCCCACCACCACTCCCACCGCACTCTGGACATCCAAAAAGCCCGACATCACCCCCCTGCGCGTGTGGGGTTCCATGGCGTATGTTCTCATACACCCTGTCGACCGCTCACGCAAAGCTGGAAAGCTAGCCTCCCGCACTCTCCCCTGCATTTTCCTTGGTCACAACACCTCCTCCCCGGACTATCTCTTCCTCCATCCCCCCTCAGGTCGCCTCATTCGTAGTCGGGATGTGGAATTCGATGAAGCCCACCCGTACTACACCTCCCCCAAAGTCCCTAACCCCCTCCCTCTAACCACCCGTCCCTTCCTCTGGACTGACACCATTCCCCCCCCACCCCCTCTCCCCTCCCCTTCCCTTCTCCCCCCCCCCACCATTGTCCCCCCTGCACCCCCACCCCCTCCCCCCTCTCCCCCCGCCTCATCAGGAGACATCCTTGACCCCGTCCACCCTCCCTCCCCACCCGCTGCCCCTCCCCTTCCCTCCACACCCGCTGCCCCTCCCCCTCCCTCCCCACCCGCTGCCCCTCCCCCCCCTCCTTCCCCCCATGCACAACATCCCCCACCTCCCCCCTCCCCACGCCCTCCCCCACTCACTCCACCTCCATCCTCCCGGCCCCTACTTCCCACTCCCCCTCTCATACTCCGCCACTACCCTCACACCCGCTCCACGGTCCCCATTCTTGGTACCCCAAGGTCCACCCCCCCCTCCCTCCAGTCTCTCACATCAGTCCCCCTTCTCCGCCACCATAGCACCTCCCCTCCCCCCCGCACCAGCACCTCAGGTGCTCTCGCCAGTCGCGCTCCCGTCTCCCTGCCCCTCACGGCAACTCAGCGAAGCCGAGCTGCAATGCAGCTGTCTCCCCGCCCCGACCCTCAGCGCAGCAGAGCACCTGTGCAGCTGTGTCCCCGCATCGGCCCGACCCTCCAGCGCAGCTGTCTTGCAACTCCACCGCCTCCTCTTCCTCCTCCTCTCACTCCGGACCTCTCTGAAGACTCTCACGATGAGCTTCTTTTCCTCCACCTCCTCTCACCCACCATCGCCCCTGTCGTCCGCACAATGGCTGGCACCACTGTCCTTCTCTTCTCCACCACACCCACCATCTACGAACCCACCACCTATGAGCAAGCACTGGCCTGTCTTGACGCACCTCTCTGGATCGAGGCCATGGTCAAGGAGAGCAACACCTTCATCAGCAATCGCTCGTTTCTCGACGTTCCTCGTCCCTCTAAGCACAACGTGGTCAAAGGCAGATGGCTATTCCGAGTCAAACTACTTCCAGGCGACGCTCCGGTCTACAAAGCTCGATATGTGGCAAAAGGCTTCACACAGACCTATGGCTCCGACTTCTTCGAGACCTACTCACCCACCGCCACTCCGCCGGTCATTCGCGTGTTTTTTGACTTTGTTGGAAGGCGTGGGATGATACTTCATTCCATGGATGTCACCACCGCCTTTCTACAAGGCGACCTTCACGAACTCATCTTTCTGGAACGACCCAAACGCTTCCACGCCCCTCACGACCCTGCTACTGTCTGAAAATTGCTACGCCCAGTCTATGGGCTCAAACAAGCCCCTCGGGAATGGCACGCCAAACTCTCCTCCACCCTTCGTGCTCTTGGCTTTCGCCCCTCTCGTGCTGCCTCTTGCCTCTTCCTACGCCTCACCCCATCACCCTTCTTCATCCTCGTCTACGTCGACGACATGCTACTGGCAGCTGACACAGATGTTGAACTCCAGGAGGTCAAAGATGAGCTGCAGAAACGCCTCGCTTGCAAAGACCTGGGGGAGGTCCGCAACTACCTCGGCATGGAGATCACCCGCGACCTCACTGCCAAGACCATCACCCTCTCTCAGTCTTTTTACATCGAGAAGATTCTTGAGAGGTTTGGCATGAAAACCTGCAAACCCATCCCCACACCACTTGCATTCGGGCATCGGCTCTCCCCTCCCACCACTCCCGTCACCTCCCCTCATCCCTATGCAGAACTTGTTGGGGCCCTGATGTACGCCATGGTCTGCACCCGTCCCGACCTTGCATACCCAGTCAGTGTTCTAGCGCAGTTCGTTGGCACCGGCAGGCATGGTGAAGAGCATTGGAAGGCGGCCATGCGGGTTCTTCGCTACCTGCAGGGCACAAAGGACCATGTCCTCACTCTTGGTGGTGTGAACCCACCC